AGTTTGGCATTCCAGTGAGTGGCAAATGCAGCAATATGTGGTGTTCCCAGTTGAGAACACACCCACCTGGAACTGGAAGACATGACCTTCGTGGATGAACTGAAGAAAATGACATGACACTGGATCAGTTGGAATATGAAGATAAGTATCCATCACGCCAATTTGATCATCCAGAGTCCCGAGGAAAAAATTCCCGAAGTGAGAGGAAGGGCTCCACGAAGAAATGAGGTAGCTCCTGATAAGAGTGAAACCAGGACAGGTCTCCAATTTCCTGTCTTTCAAGGGACAACAATTAGATGGGAGTAAAACCTCAGTTGAGTGGGTACTACCCATTTGACAACTCCTTTGTGTAGTAGGTCTTGAACAGACTAGGCAAGACAACTGGAACAGATACAATCCCAAGGAGGAGGGAAGTTTATCTGGGAAGTGGATAGGGGAGGAATAGAACTGAAGGCAGAAACCTTCAGACAGAACCCGTAGAGCCCACGGAACTGTCGTGAAGTGTAGCCAAGAAAAAGACACATAAACTAAACATATTTAGAGAACCTACATATTACTAATAAAATAACAAAACCTAGAAATTTGTAGAATCTACAAAGTACATGAAAATAACAGACTTGCAAAACTAGGAAATTCAATCTAAAACATAAACAATAAGCAACACCTAAAGTACAAAACCAGTAAAGGAATTTAAAAGATAAAAAACATAAATATCAAACTCGTAAGTCCACTCAAAGAACCGATAAGAAGAAAAAGGACAAAAAAGTAAAACCAGCCCTGAAGAACATGAGATGAAAAGGCACCCAATTAATAATAACAAAATTTTACTCAAGTCTAATCCCCAATTACATGTGACTAGTAGGAAAGAAAAAAGAACTTACAAACTAACATAAATAGTAAAAGGAAGTTTAAATAATAAACAAACACATCCACAAAACTGGCCAAAGTTACAATTACCCAAACAGTAACTATCATACAAAACCCATACATATACCAAAAATTAAACAAAGTAATAATCAAACTCTAAAGACAAAATTAAACTAAAGAAACATAGATGGTAAAAGAATTATAAAAATCTAACTTACCAATTACTGAGCAGAGAACACATGAAAGACCTAAATTATCACGTGAGAAAATTAGGTCAATTCTCACAAGCCCACATAAACTCGCTAAACAGGGGTTTACCTACAGGGAATGAGGAATGCACATTGAAAAACTTACCACAGATCTCCTGGGAAAAAGAACAATACCTAACCCAGGAGATTACATAGAGGTGTGGTTACAAATGGAAAGTGCATTAGAAAGAAATTTCCACTCAGAAGTTATATCCTTCCTCACAAAAAATTGTAATGTGAAAGGAAGAAACTGCCGTCCGATTGTAAAACACGAACTCCCGCAAACTAAAGCCTGTACTTCCCCAGCAGACATCACTGACCCTGAGACCCGAAGGCTCGTGTATACCACTGTCAATCATTGCGGGAATTTCATCCACTATATTAAATCTCAAATTCATATGAATAAATCTGAAATATTTCTAAAACAAATGAGCAGAAATAATGGAAATCAAACACAAGAAGTCAAAATTTGAAGTTGAATCTGATATAAATTTTTGATCAAGCACAAAAAAATCTTGTAGTCATATGAAAACAAAGTTAAAACACACGTCCACACACTAAAATGACAATTGAAAAAGTGGAGATTGTTCTATAGTAGTAGAGGGAGCTAGCTGTGCTAGAATAGATGGCACAGTACAATTGGTAGAGGATAGTCACATTATCGGCAAGTGTTCTGAAATGGTGCAAAACTGATGGGGTATAAAAGACTGGTGTGCTGTTAGCAAAATATTTTAACTAGGGATGCACGGGTACCCAGCCAGGTATTTGGCTACCCGGTAATACCCGGCTCCGACCGAGTGTTGAAGTTAGGCATATCGGCCCTAATCTTTGTGGCAACTAACTCAGTACTGAAAGTTAGTCAATAATTGGTTTAGTTTAAAAAAAACATGTTCCGAGCAACAAAACTAACTGCCGCTGAAAGTCGGGGATTCAGAGAACAATAGGGGTTAATAACAGGCATGGCTTGAAAAGTAGATTTCTGGGAAAGGTAGGGGTTGGGTTTGAGAAGTTGGGGCTAGGCACTGAAAGTTGAAAGTAAAACTTGAATGTTCTGTTAGTGAGTATTCGGTTAAATGTAATAAATGTCAATTTTGTTTTTGTTTCTAATTTTTGTGTATGTTGCTTATTTGGAAGGGAGGGGCAAGGGGAGAACCCGGCCAAAACTTATTGACCGGATACCCGAACCCAGTATTCGGCAAAATTTTACTACCCGTGCATCCCTAAGTTTAACAATGCTTAGAGGGCAGTCCAGTAGAGGTGAGTAGAGGAGACCATTTTGGAAAATTATCTTAAGTAATAATTTTTTAAATTCCATTTGAGTGACAATACCTTGCTATGAGATTGTCTGGAAAACATTCTAGATCTATAATGACTTTCATACTGATAAGCTACTTAATGAACATGGTGAAGAATCATTATTCCATGTTTTTTTTACATCCTAGTTGATTCATTATATCCAGGAGATACTTAATTTTTGTTTAAATCAGCCACTGTACATTTACATATAACTTATAGAAACTTACGAGTGATAGCAAAATATGTGTTATATGAACCACACTAAATCCGCCATATCCAGTGTCAAAAAAGGCTTTTTGCCCATTACCAGGGTTCGTCAGGCTGGCTGGGATACTAAAGACATCATAGCATTCTAGGTGTTATTTATATCATCAATTTTCATGAACAATGACTGCTAATGTGTGAACTAGATTAAGTAAGGGAATTGTAATTAGCATAAATGTTACTTAAGTCATTTATAAGTTTTTTTTAGGTAATGAATAAAAAACATAATACTATTTATTAATTTTGTTCTTAACACCAATAAATATTATTTTCTTTGAATCAACTTAACTATCGTACAGAA